TAGTGCTCTGGGAAGAAAGTTTCTTGTATTATAATTATTATTATTTGTTGTAGTGTTCTTCTATTATAATTATTATTATTTGTTATTAATTATTATAATTACTTCATAATAATTACTATTTTCTTATTCTATTATTATTATTATTATTAATTTTTTAATTTATTATTATTACTATTGTTATTAAAAATTAATTGTTAGTTTTACCACTCTTTTCTATAAAATAGTAATTGTTACTTAGAAAAATAGCATTTATTATAAAAAACACTTATTATTAATACTATTATTTATTTCAAGCAATTAATTAGTAATTTTACTTCTGTACTTTTTTATAAAAACACCACTAGTTATTATTACTTCATATTAATTACTCCTCTGTTCTAGAGTATTTTTCTACTTTTGATTTGAGAATAATCACAAACCAACACGCTTCTCTCTCAAAAAAGGAGAAAAAAAGAGAAAAAAGAAACCAACACGTGGCAAATTATATTATACATCCGGCTGTACCCAGAGATAGGTACAACCGGTGTTTAATAGGGGCGAAAGGAAGAAATCGGCGATGAAAGAGGCTGGCTGATCGGAAGTTTGCTAGAAGCCGTGCGATCTATGATGATGTGCGGATCGATGATGATGATGATGCTGATGATGGATGATGTGTAAATTTGTTCTTCTTGGGGTTTTGCGTTGATACACTGATTATGATGAAGAAGGAAGACCTGGCAGGTTCTGTAGAATTGAAGAAGTTTTTGGGATCCGCAGTTAGGGCATGAATGGTGGTATGTAGTTGAAGAATGAATACTAAGCTATGTGGGGATGAGTACTACTAGATTTTAAAATGTGTATTACTTTATCTATAAATAAATTTTGTACAAATGTGTGAAAATGAGTAGTACTTTTTTTGAGAACAATGTTTTCAAAATGAATTTGAGAGTATACCCTATATGCTCTCCCAACACACTTACTTCAATTTTCTTCTATTCGAGCAGGCTAAGCACTTCTGCAGGGATTGAAAGTTAAAACAAGATAGAGATCTTCAATCAAAACATGGCGGAATTGAAATTTCTCGGAATGGACTTCAGCTGCGCATTGGGATCTCTCAGCAAAGGTGAGTTTCCAGGGAGGGACTGTCTGCTTCCGTTAGTATCAAAGCTGTTGGGATACGCCATCGTCGCTGCCTCCACCACCGTCAAGCTTCCTCAGGTAACCTTACTCCTGAAGGGCTATAGTGCCCCCAAAAACCTAAGTAGTGCGTAATTAAGATAAGTAATAACGGATCATATTGAGTGTTTCCAATTTCTGATATGCGCGTAGATATTAGCTATGTTCTTTGTTCTTCTGTTTGCCTTCTTCAAATCAAGGAAGTATGAATCTTTAGTGTGTGTTGTGTTCTTTGATTTGCTGCTGAGCTTTGGTGATGAAATGCAGTGCTGATTTCAAGCATAAAGTTTGAGTTTTTCTATTGCAATTGGGTTAGGCCCATTTGTTCGTTAGGGTATCGGAATTGCCAAATTGGGCATGGGTTGGGGAATCGAGACGCATACCTCTTCTTGGGTTGGAAAAGATGATTAAAAGTGATTCCTAGAACCTTGTCAAACCCATTCCCTCATACCCAACCCCCTCTAGTTTGGCAACCTTGGTGCTTTATCTATGTTATACTGTGATTCCTATCATATTTTTTGTGCAGTTGGAGCCGGGGGTCTCTTGGAAACAGCCTCCCTACTTTCGAGTAGGGGCAAGGTCTGCGTACACACACCCTCCCCAGACCCTACTGTAGTGGGATTCAACTGGGTTGTTGTTGTTGTTGTTGGGAACTCGCTTCTTCTCTCAAACCTTTGAGAATCCGATTCAAAAATATCAGAATGCCATCCCTGTGGGGTTAATAGACTGCAACTGAAACGCTAGAATGCCATTTTCAGTTTTCATTCTTTAATCTTTATTCCAACCTGTTACTTTAGTTTTGACAAAAAGTCCTGTTTTAGTGGTTTAAGAATCACCAGTAATGGGGTATTAACAAAATCAAAAGTAATTGATACACGTTACCCTCTTGGGTTCTTGAGTCGAGTGTTTAAATATTTGATCAAAATTTCTGCACAGTTTTTCCGCCTATCCATTATTTGGAGGATATGTGTATTGACTGTTTAGTTTTGCTCCATAAGAGTGGGACACTTAGAGTTGTGTGACTAATTGGTTCAGTTCGCAATGTGCAGATATTAAAGATTTTGAAACACAAAAGTGTGAGAGGGCTAAGTGTGGTAGCCTTTGAACTTGAAGCAGTTGGCTATACCATAGCGCTGGCATATTGTCTTCACAAAGGGCTTCCTTTTTCAGCTTTTGGAGAGTATGCATTTCTTTTGATCCAAGGTAAATTTTCTGTAGTGATTTTTCACAATAATTTTGGTGAGTATAAAGATTTGATTTTATTGAATTATTTTTAAAGCAGCTCTTACATTGAGATATTAGACACTCACAAGTCACGACCTCTCAAGTCCATGATTTGCAAGCCTTTTCTGATATGCTCTCGTAAGGGTCTCTTTGGATCCCGAAAATGCTAGGGAATTGAACGAAGTACAGAAAAAAGTTACTCTTTTATGTTTGGTTTTACTTTGAAAAATGCAAAGGGAAAATGGAATACGATTGATGTATGGTTTACAAATATTTGGATTTGGTAAATTTTGATTTTTTATATAATAATATACATGAATTCTTCCCTAAAAAAATACATGAATTCTACATCTTCATAAAAAGAGTCTTGTTCCACAAAAGTAAGAGTTTTTCATTTTAGTAAGAAACTAATATTGAAAATCATCAAATATATTTAAATTTATTTTATTTTTTTTGGTTGAGCTAGATTTATCACACTCAACTTGTTTAGGATGCTACTAATACGGAGTAGGAAATAATAAGTATGAATGTATGATGAAAGTTCACTTCTTTTGTTCAAATATGACTTCTCTTTTTAGACAAAATAATCTCTCAAATAGGACTCTTTTAGGGACATAGAGATTAAATGAAATTAGTTTAAAGTTTAAACGCACCCTTAAGTTCTAACTTAAATTTATTGAGTTTGAGATAAAATTAACCGAAACATTTTCTTTCCTTCCAATTTCCTTCCTACCTTTTCCCAGTAGTATTTTCAGGTTCCAAATGGACCCTACATGTATTTATGGAATGATGGGGTTTCCTAACAAGATGGAGTACAATCTTTTGCTTTGTTGCAGCACTCATCTTAGTTGCAATCATCTACTACTTCTCTCAACCTTTGGGGACCAAGACATGGATGAGAGCATTACTGTATCTTTCATGGGAACTATGTTGAACCATCTTGGGTAGCATGATTATGCGAGTGTTAAAATTAATACATTATTGGGATTAGTGATTCATTTCCTTATAGCTAATACAGATACTGTGGTATTGCACCAACTATTTTAGCAGGCAAAATCGATCCCATTCTTTTTGAGGCTCTCTATGTAAGTTGCAGCTCGTAGATTATCATGTGTAGAGTGCCATCCATGATATCTCCTTTTCTGCCTTTAATTAACTCATCTTTTTTGGATGTAAAACTCTATCAAAATTCAATATTTTTTGTTTATGAATTAAACAAATATTATAGAGAATAAACTCATGCTAATGCAAAAAATAACACTCCAGGCTTCCCAACATGCGGTTTTTCTTTTTGCAAGAATTCCACAGATATGGCAGAACTTCAAGGTAAGCTGCCATGTTAGCATTATTAACAGAATTACATTGTTAATGCATATGCACAAATGGTTTTCATATATTTCCTATCCTATTTGGTTGATAGAGTTACATGCATTCATACCATGATAATTCATGATAAGCACTCTTTTTCACAGAACAAGAGCACGGGAGAGTTGAGCTTCTTAACCTTTTTTATGAACTTTGGAGGTTCAATGGGTAAGTGTATTGCAAATATTGGATCGTCAATTGTTTTAATGACATACTTCAACTTTTTTGCTACTTCTATCTGGCAGTAAGAGTATTTACAAGCATCCAAGAAAAGGCTCCAACAAGCGGTATCCTTTCTCCTCTTTTCTGTTATTCACTAGAAAATTTGAAGCGGGTGATTCTATTGGGATGTTATTGCTGCTTTCCAATGTACCGACAAATTCATATCTCTGTGTGTCTGTGCGGCATTGGTATATTGTCAAATTCTTCTTCTGCTGCTTTTACAGTTGCATTGGGTTCCGTGCTCGGTGTAGTGATGAATGGGACGATCTTGAGCCAAATTATCATGTATCAGAAGCCTACTGCAAAGGACAAGAAAAGGGATTAGGTTGTCTTCTGCCCGGCAATGGTTTGAAGGACATTTTTTTAAGAAGTTCATGTTGAATTGTTAAGTGGGGTTTGGTTAATGAGTAAAATATAGATGGCAGTATTAAAAAAGTGGAAGTACTGTCATAACTTAAATAAAAAAATATTTTCTTTGTCCTAAAAAAATAGTTACCATTAGACTTAACATCAAATAATGAAATGTTAAATGAATTAATTTATTATGTAACCTTTATAAATTATTATATATTTCCCTTTCTAATTTTGCATTATTTCATAATTATATTTCTTTCAAACAACATTAACTTGTACTCCGTATTAACTTTTAGTTCCTACTTAATTAGTGCTGTGTGAGTCGGGGTCTCTTGGAGAAGACCTCACTACTTTTGAGTAGGCGTAAGGTCTGCGGACACACACCTTCCTTAGACCATACTCTCGTGGGACCCAACCATATTGTTGTTAGACTATAAATAGGAGGCGACTCCTCCATTGAAAGGCAGGCTGAAACAAGCTAATGCGAATATACAATAGTTATATCCCACTCTAAATTGTTCTTATTCACAAGGAAAAATTTACATCATTACTCCCAGAATAACACAACTTTATATAAATACTCCGAAATTTAATTAATGACATCAATACTCCTAAAATTTTTATATGTTCACATCGATACTCTAAGAATTTATTTATGTTTATATCTATGCTCCAAATGTTGGGGCATCGATGTAAACATATTTCAATGTTGGAGTATTGATGTAAACATACAAAAATTCTGGGAGCATGAGTGTCATTTATTAAATCTCGGAGTATTTATGTAAAATTATGCAATTTTGGGAGTAATGATGTGAATTTTATCTAGTTCTTCGTATTGCCATAGTTGTTGGGCTAAATCCCATCAAACAGCATATTCAACAATACATTCAACAACAAAGTTTAATTACAATTTTTCATTACAAAAAAGTAGTTCATATTGTAAAAGTGTCAACGGAACTTTAAATCCAACAATCAAATTGAAATACAAAAAGTAGTTTATTATCTCCGTCCCAGTGTATTTGTCCAGTTTGACTTTTTTGAGTCAAACTGGACAAACTTTGAACTCCAATTACTTTCAGTTTATATCTCATATTAACATAATGAAATACAATTTTGAAAGTTATCAATACGATAAATCTAATAAAGTCATTTTTATGTTAAAATACATTACGATTTTTATTTAATTGAAGCTCAAAGTTTATCCAGTTTGACTCGAAAAAATCAAACTGGACAGATACAACGGGATAGAGCGAGTATATTGTAAAAAGAGTGTCAACAACAAACTCTAATATCAAAAATATCATTTTCAATAACAGAAACTTTAAATCCAACAATCAAATTGAAATACAAAAAGTAGTTTATATTGGGCCCATTCATTTTGGGGGCCCACTAATTTTCTTGAATTCTTTAGCCCAAATTTAGTTATTCTATTTTTTCAAAAGTGAATTGCTGAAAGTGGAGTTCCAAAAATCAAAACATCAGCCGGCCGTAAGGAGGACATCATCCCCTTAGCAGGGTTTGTAAGAAAATTTATTGGAGCTTCCTTTTTTCGCCGAAATCCCCGTCCTCCGAAGGACATCAAACAACACATCTCGCACCAAATCGTGTCGGTACTAAATTGTTTTTAGTCAATATTTCTCAAGGTATTGTCTATTATCCTAACCTTACCTTTAGAGTAGTTGTAAGAGTGTCGTATTGACTCTTCTGCCTATTTGCCCCATGGTGCTCTTACTTGAATTCATCTCATTAAAACTAAAATAATACTCCGTATTAAACTCCAATTCATATTTTTTTGGGGGGAATTTAGTCCTAAAACTTTCTTCCCGTTGCGCAAAACGAAGAAAAATCTCAAGTTTTTTCAATCTATTTTATTTAAATATTGGTATAGAAATAAAAAATAAAACATACATATTTAAAAACTAATATAGTCATGTCACCTCTAGTTTTGTAGATCTTTTCATGTAGTTTTTTAAATATGTAATTTTTATTTTTTAATTTCATACCATTTTTCATATAAAATGATTTGAAAATAACGCGCAATGGGAACTTTATTTGTGGACGGAGGGAGTATATTCTTAAGACCTCTTATTTATATAAAAAATTTTATATAGTTTTTTACTATATAAAATTTGTTTTTAAATTTTACACCTAGATTGAAATAAGTTTAATTGAAAATAAAATTAATCAAATCTCGTAACATATAATGGGAAAAATATATGAGACACAGAGGATTAATTTATATTCTTTCTGTCCCCTACTTTTTTTTAATTCTTCAATTTGGATTGTCCTAAATATAAAATTTCATTTTATTTAAGAAATAAATTTAGTGGTTCATTTTTTTGGTTAACTTTCACCATACTTTTTCTTGAATTACTTTTGAAATTTTTTTAAGGAGAGATTAAGTATGACCAGAAAAAATCTTGTCTTGACCGTTGAACGCAGACCAACCATACACATTTAGAGCTTTAAATCCCCTTTAAGGCTATTGCGTATACCAAGTTTTTTGAAAAGAGAATACTATTTGTTCCTATTACATTAGGAATCAATGCCATAGGATAACTCAATGTCTTTACAATGTTGCATTTTAAAAAATTGATTGCTTCTACACCATAATTTTGTTGGTAACCCGTCATCCCTGGTCATCTTGAACTTGTCCACCACCGTCACAGAATTTAGTTCACTTTGAAGTCAAATTTTCACTCCAAAGTCAACTAAATTTTGTGGAATGGAATTGATGGGGTTATGTGTTCGGATCGGGATGGTGGGCTTTACTGGCAGAGTTAGGAGATAGAAACCATCATTTTTTAAATGGAGTATCGTAAAGACCCAAAACGGGGTCATGTCATACTGTCATAGGATGACATGAGGGCTAATGTAACGGGAACACCCCCCACCCTAAGAAAGTATATCATGTTGTGCCTCAAGTTGTGCCTCAAGTTGTTCACCACTCTCCCCTCCATCAAATAATTCTTTTGGAGGATCTTATTTTTAAGTCTTGGATAAAAAATGTGGTGAAAAGGGAATGACTTACAATTTAGGGTACAATTTGATATACCCCAAACAATATTCTTAGGTGTGGACGGGACGCTTTGGCATATCCAAGAGGCATGTAACCAATACTTCTAATGTTTTAATGAAAAACTTTGGTAAATTTCACATATATTGCCCGAACTTTGATTTATTTTTTGTTTTGTTAATTAAAATTTATTTTGTATCACAAAAATACTTTTAAACTTTAAAAAACTTTTCGGGAATTGTACCTGGAGCTGGGTGCGGACAAGTGTCAGGTCATTTAGGTCCCTCCTTGGGTGCTGCCCTGGGTGTTTTGAAACCCTCATTACTTGGCCCAATAATGTAGCGCCACATCATTTTAAAGAGACGGATGGTACAGAGTATGATTTCTTTGCTGTTTAGCATGAGATATTTCGTCACGCCGTCCATCCGTCTCCCTCCCTCTCTCTTCATCGCATCTTTCAAGATCCATCCGTCTCCCTCCCTCTCTCTTCATCGCATCTTTCAAGATTGATTAGCAATATCCTTCCTCAATTATCAATGGCAATTTCAGGTTCTTTGGATGCATGCAGAATAATCTTATAAAGAAACACCCAGTTTTAAAAAAGGAAGCGCCCAAATTACAATCTTATATATTTTAAAATTTTGAGTTTCACCATTTTCACACATTCCTTTTTCTTCTTCTCCCATCTAGAGTTTTAAATGGATAACTGAAAATTCGATTATCGTCCGCATCCGTATCCGTTTATACGAAAAATGTCTTATTTTCTATTTGTTTTATCTTTTTGATATTTTTTTTTCTTTTTTTCTTTTTGATCATTTTTTGTAGAAATAAATAAATTACTAAGAGTAAAGCCCAAAATAAATGAAAGAGGAGAGAAAAAACAAAATCCGTAATGCTAAAAAATAAAAGTAAAAAAAGTAAAAAAAAATTAATTAATGTTCTTATGTTTTATATGTTTTTTTGTAAACAAACGTCGTATCTTTCTTGTTTGTTCTTTTTATATACAGAGTATTTCGTTTTTCCATAAAAAATGAAGTAAAAAATTTATTGAAATTTGGATTCGTTCTGGTGAAATTTATCCAAAACAGCACCAAAATATTGGTGGTTTACCAAAATAGACTATTTTTGTTTTCTCCTTTTATTAACAATATTTTCATTCGCACTACCCAATACTCTTCTAAACGACACCATCCACATGGCTACGCTGCACCCTTTTTTAGCACCCTTTTGAATTCTAGTTTGTTTGGGAAAGAAATAAGTAATTATCCCTAGGTTTGTGCTATAACAATTGCTTTTCCATATTCATCATCAACACGATTCTCTGTTTATACACCAATCATCTGATACGAATAACGTATCAGATAGGGAAGAACTTCGAGCGTTTTTCAAGCTTCGAGAAAGAGAATGCAAAGAGAAAAGGAAAACTTCGAGCGTTTCCGGACTCCAAGAAAAGAGAGACGAGAGATTAAGAGAATTCTTGATTATTGATTAATTGATTGTTAATGATACGGGATTACAATATATAACGGTGAGACGTCCACCTACATGACCTAATGGGCTCGGGCCCATATAAAAACCCTAATCTATAGAATATTACTAAATAATAATAAATAACTACTAAATAATAATATAACTAATTAAAGAATTCTAATTAACTAACCGTATCATTCCCACTCCCTTAAAATCCACCTTGTCCTCAAGGTGGAGGCTCCCACTCGTGCTTTAGGACTGGAGAAAGAATGTTGAACCAAAGGAGCAATCCACTCTTTGAATCTTCAACCATCATGGATATTGGAGCAAAATGATGGAAAGATGAGATGGGGCGCAGAACATATGTAGTTGCTCTCAGTGAAATCAGGTGCTCCGTCTTGACCACATCGACAAGCTCAAACAACGTGATGGTGTCAATCAACATAGGTGAGTGTGCTTGTTTTCCATCTGCATCTCTCACTTTGTCAGCACTTTTTGGAATATCATACTCTGCAATGACTACACCAGCTGAAGTAGAAAATTCCTGAAAAGTAGAATCTGGCTTGTCGACATTAGCAACATCTTCTGCAAGAGGACTTTCATTTTTTCCCACAACGTTGAACCTCCCATTATCTTTGTTTATGGCTTTATGCCGGATGTCCACATCATCTCCAACTTGTGAGTCAATGTTTGGTTTCTTCTTGGATGCGTGATCATGTGCATTAGCATTTCGGTCAATTACTGTAGAGACCAGATTTGGCATAGAAGGCGAACTATCAATGAGAACTTTTATAGGGCCCAACATGCCTGTTCTAAAGTGTTGTAACTCCCAAGGAATCAAACTCAGCAAAATTGGGGGCCCACGGACCAAATCCTGTATCGCGCAAGAGATTTCAATGTCAAATGCGTGTAAGTCAGAATCATAATTTGGCTTACCTCCAATAGAACGGAAGGATTGAAGATTCTTTATAAGTTCATCTATTTGATCGTAAAGTGTGCACACTCCGTCGTCGCGCTCAATTTCACCATAAAGAACGTTTTCTAATAGAGCAATAAGTTTGTCCAATGCATGGGTACACACGATCAAAATCTCTAACCGCTTGAATCGAGCCTCCATTCGGAAAGAAGAATCGGGTTGCATTTTTTTTCTTGGAGTGTGGTGCAAATTGACCCGACGGCTGCCACAAACAAATTATAGTGGATCTCTTCCAATTGCTCTCTCTAATTGAGTGGCGGCCCTGTTGACAAAGTAATTGGCGGCTGCACCAATTTGGATGTAAAGATTAGATTTCACCAGCTTCAATTTTTTATTTCCTCTGATCTTGCGGCTCTTTTTCTTCTTCTTTTTTTTCAATGACTTTGGATCGCAGTGATGAATTACTGCAACTCTTCTAGTTGTTCCAAGAAAAAAGTAGCGGCACAATTGCTCTTTTGCTAATGTAACACCCTAATCCGTCCAGGTCTGCAGCTCCATTCGGACTAAAGTATTTAACTTGGTAATCGTAAAAATTTAAACCTTTTCAAACACACTTTATTAATCCCAATAATATTTTCAATACATATACAATACGGAGTATTCAACAATATTGCGGAAGCGATTTTAATATTGAAATATCAAAAATTGTTTCAAAACTTGTCACATCCATCCCGACAATCTCGCCCCATCTACCGCCAGGATCACATTCTGCTTTCTGCTTACCTGCGTGTAGCAAATAAAACACACTACACGCTCAGTGGTAAAGCTGAGTAAGCATATCTAATGCGTCGAACATCCATATAAACTGAATCTAAATTCATAATCAAATCATTTGATATCATGCACACAATGTTCATTTCAGACATTCACAGTTTTGGTATTGTTCAGTTCATATCAATACATTTTATTCAATTCAGATACTATTTCAATAGTGCTCTTAAATTATTCTTAATCTAAGGCCAGATTATAACAATGCTCTTAGTTATTTTTAGTCTAGGGCCAGATCATAATAATGCTCTTAGCTATTCTTAGTCTAAGGCCAAATCATAATTTCCATAACCAGATTCTTTTAAGGCAATTATTAATCAGACACTTAAACTATCATTAGTTTAAGTCAATCGATTTCGGACACTTAACTGCAGTCAGTTAAGGCAATCATATACTTAAACTATAACTAGTTTAAGGCAAATGATTCAGACACTTAACTGTAGTCAGGTAAGGCAACAACAATATAGCGATTGATCAACATTAGATCGGACATTCCCAAACG